ATATTAGGTGGTGTAACAACAATTAGAGTTATGCAATTTCAAAACTATTTTCTAAATGAAGAAAAACTGTTTTTGTGTGAAAATATAAATGCTGGCAAAAACAGTGTGAAAATCTAGTTGAAGTTGAAGCATTACACCAATTAGATCAGCATGAATCTAGTGTGCTTTTATTTAGTGTTAATACCATGGAGATTAATGAAGGAAGGAACTTCCCGTTTGTCAAGTCAGTTATAAAATACATGCTGTAACTTAGTTAGAATTTCGAAGAAGACAAAAAAACAGCAAGCATTTCGGTCAAATAAAAGACAAAAACATTTGACAGTATCCTGGAGATACCTCATTAAAAAGCATTCAGAGATTAGAGGCTGATGTCTTATGTGTCTACTAGCAGTTCCTATTCTGATAAACTGGAAAAAGTGGAAAAAGTCTCCTCTTTACGGATGTTTTCAGCTGTGGTGTCCCTCAAGGACTCATCTTAGGGCCAATTCATTTTACCCTTTCACCATTTTTCCTTTGGTTCTTTTTATGTTTATTTCGTTGTCATGAAGGCTCTGGTGAAACAAGACTCACATATTTTCTGCACTGCATTATTTCCAGAGCTGGACGACAAATAACATTCTACTGTTTTATGCAAGTAAATCAAAGATTGTTTTTGGTAAACAAATCTTGGATCTCACCTAAAGCTGTTATTATTGTTTGTTCATCCAGGCCCAATCCAGGACTTTAGAGGTTATTTTCTTACAAAGGTTTAAAGTTTAATGCAAACAGTACTCTCCTAACTTTGGCTCATTCCTCTTGTCTTACCTGGAGCTGAATTTAAAGCCTCCAGCCAGACTTCAGATTGAACCAAAAAATAAAGAAGGTAAATTAAATAGTTGCTTTCAACCTTTATTAAACTAAAACTCTGCTTTAATTTACACTAAATTTATTTTTTAATTATTTTCATGTTTTGATTTATTGTAGCCTATTATTTAGTTGCAGTTTTGTCCTGTTTATATTTTGTTATTATGTTTATGTCTCTAGGGTTTTTTTTTTTTTTTGTCTGTTTGGTCAAATTTGGTTTTGTTATATAAACAAAGAGTTCATTTGCAAAAACAGATACCTCTGTTTTTATAAAAAAAAAAAAAACATACTTTTCATCATCAGTGCCATGCAAAGAGTAAATAACATGCCTCAGCTCATTTTTTTCAAAAAAGGCATTTATCTGTTTTTGTAGATGAACTTTTCATATGTTTTATATATTCAGCTGAACAGATTTTATCTAAACTAATTACTAAATTAACTTTTTTTTAATCCACGATAAAAACGTTTTGCTTGAGGAGACCCTTACAGTTTAAACTTTGTCCCTGTTAGCATTTCTTCAACAACAAAAAAGAAATCAGTTAGAGAAAATGATCTGCTGAGGAAAGCAAAGCAGTGTCCTAAAATAGTATGTTCATATGTTTCCATGCACACCATCAGCAGCCATTACAGCGTGCTGCAATGATGTCACTAGCTTTATGGCCCTCGCAGCCTTAAATAGCTGCCACAGTCCTCACACAATAGAAATAAAAGAGGAATGGCTGACACTCATTAATTAAAAACAGAGATCCGTAGACCACTGCTCTCGTTTTATTTTGCTTTTTCAGTTTTGGAATTTTGGTTTTCACTTGTATGACCACCAGCAGCAGAAGTATATGGACTCCACCAACATGACCAAAAACTGATCACCAGACAGTGAAGGTTATTTAAGCATGAATACATTGTAAAAACAAAAAAAAAACAGGAAGTTGTGTAAGTAATAAAAGTTGAGCCACAGTTGAGTTCAGGTGTATCTGTGGTGAGTCACAGGGATCGATCCTCTGGTAGGGTCATATGAATACTAACACACCTACAGCCTTCCAAAGCTCAGCAGTGTTCTTAACTGGCTTCTGGCAACCAAATATTAGGATTAGAAAGAGATTAGAAAAAAGTCTGCTATGGTAAACTGTCAACAGGCATAAGTAAGCGTGCCATCCTTCAGAGTTGGAGCATATTAGGGCTGGGGTTTCAATTTAAATGTATTTCTGCTAATATGGGAAACTTAGGACACAAAAAGCACTCAACAGAAGTAATAATAATAAAATAAAGAACAATTTCTTGCATTTATATTCTGCAGAAGAGAAATCTCCCAGTCCTTTATTAGCTTACCATAAGTCTGTCTTTGTTGTTGTAAAATAATAAAACTGTCTAGGTTTTTCAGGCCTAGTTTCTGTGGTTACACTCCAGGGCAGCTTCATGAGGACACTGCTACGATCTAATATCAGTGTTTTGGGGGTGCAGAGATGTTGTAAGAAATTTTGCTGCCAGTAACCTGAAGGAAGCAGGTGTGTTTGCATGTGTGACCAGCCTGGAATTTCTCTGCTTCTTTCTTTCTTATCAATCTGCTGGTTTCACTGCTAACAAAAGGTAACTGGGCCCATTCATCATGCCTTAAATAAAGCCACATTCCTCTGTTTTAAGTGGATATTTCTTCCCCCTGTGCCTTTGACTGCTGGTGGAAATAAACTAGGCTCTAGGCTCCTTTCTATTACCACACCTAACATAAGCTGTTTATTCTTGCGCTCTGGCGCCCCCTTTTGGCTTATTATCCATCCTTCTCAGCGACAACAAAAATGTTTTCTCATTTTCCATCAGAGTGATGTATTTGTCTGGTATAACCTGTATTTGGGCAAACCTGCGGCGCCCGGGGAACAGTGTGGGGTTAAGCGTCTTGCTCAGGGACCCAGAGTGCAGGCTGTGGTGATCGAACTTTCAACCTTCTCAGAGTTAAAGCTCACTGCTTTAACCACTTGGCCAAAAGTAGATTTCATTTAAATGTACATAAGTATTTAAAAAAAAATAAAAGGTTCTAATATCAGTACATTTCTGTATTAATTTCAGATTAAGAATGTTGTAACTTCCAGAAACCACCTGATGTACTGATACCTGCTAGAAGTTCTGCACCACCTCTAAAGAACTTCAGCATAAAAATACCAAAAGAAAAATTAGGACAGCTGAATATTATTTCTTATTTAAAAACAAACCAAAAAGAAATCAGTAGAGTCTTGATTCTCTTCACACTTTCACTAGAGGTTTAAGGTCGAATCTACAACCACAAAAACACATAACTCTGATTTGATACCTCACCCTACTGAACAACTTAGCCACATGACAACCAATATCTGCTCTAAGTTTTTCTCACATTTGTGGGATTCCATTAAATCTCTATATTGCCGTCTATATTAATTCCTGATATCTTACATGTTGAAATTACATTTCAAGAAAGAAAAACAGCGGATTACAAAGCTAAGCTGAGCCAAAAGGAACAAGTAAGGGGCAGCCTTCCTGAAATGTAGTGCATTAGAAAGTACAATATTTGAAAAATTACTCAAGTAAAGTGCAGATACTCAAAAACGTTCTTAAGTACAGTAATCGGGTAAATGTACTCTGTTACTCTCCACCACTGGTTCTACCCAAAAATTGGATTGGATCGGATAACAGGTCCATAAGTAGAATCCAAACCATCTCTTATTTGGGGGATCCCAGGGTGTTCCTATAGGTTAGACAGGATGCATAGTAGGCTACCTCTTAAAGAGGTTCTCCTTATATTGGAATGTGCTCCAAAAACATCCAAAGGGAGACCCAAACAACAACTGATCTGATCGTTTGTCTTAGAGCATGTTCAGTTTGAGGGATTGCATCTGAGTCAATGAGTCGATGCAATAGACTGGTTTTCCTTATATAGAAAACTTTGAATCAATCTGACTGGATGATCTGGTGAACTGTAAAGTGCCTTGAGATGGCATGTGTTGTGAATTGGCGCTATAGAAATAAACTGAATTTAATTGAATTAAGAGATGCCGTGACTCTACTTCAAGCGCCCGGAAACAAGGTGGAGCGCCTTAAAGTGAGTCCATGGAGGAAGATTATTTGTTTCATCTTATTTATTTCATTTGATTGTTGGCATCTTGGTCTTTTGGCCCAGATTCAAATCCTTTCACCACAAACGAGGGTCTAAATCCACTGAACAGATAACTGTTTTGTGATACTAATGTAAACTAAGAAGTGTAAAGGTTTCTACGTCTTTACCCTTTTGATGTTGGGTGGATTAAATATATTTTAAAGCTTTTTATGATTTTTTTTTTTTTTTTACTCCCTCTCACTCTTTCTAGATCCGTTTCTGAGAAGAATAACGACAAATAAATTTTTAAATGTCCAGTTTCAACTTGCTACGTTGTATTTTTGGTTGGGTGAATATTTTATAAATACCAGCTCTCATTTTTCCGAAAGTACCGTTTAATCTTTCAACGTTTCCGCGAACTGTAGTTTCACAAGAAGCGCAACAATGTTCAAGTCCCGTGAAACAGCGACCTCGTGTGGTGAAAGTAATACTGTGCACGCCTGAGGTCGTGTTACGTCACCCTGGCGGACAAGTTCCTCTCCTGGGTGAGGATAGATATTAATGTTAGTTTTAGTATAATAGAAATAAAGGGTATAATTAAACAAACAAAAAAAATAGTTATGGAAAGGTGAAAAGTAAGGAAGGTGGTTCTATAAAAGAGAATTGGACAAATGAAAGGAACAGAAAGGAACAGATGAGATAATTATTTCAGGACACACAGGATTGAATAGGTCATTATTTTTGATAGGGAAACATCAGACAGGGAAATGTGACTGTGGGGAAGATGAGACAGTGGAACATGTTATTTTGAGTTGTAGGAATTATTTTTATCAGAGAAACAAGTTAGTTAGAAGACTTAGTAATATGAAAATTAAACTTGATATAGTTGATTTGCTGCAAAAGGAATCAGGGAGCAGAGGATATCAGGTTATATTTGAGTTTTTAAAACAGATTAAATTGTATACGGTAACAGGATATAGTTTTTTTGTTTTGTTTTGTTTTTGGCAAGTGGTCCACACTCCTTACCAGCTGGTAGCGGTAATGCTCACCTAACGTTTTTGCCATCCACCATAAAAAAAAATCAAGAAGAAGAAGAAGTTCTTCGCCTGGTCATGTGACCTCCTACCCGGGTCTATGATAAAGCTATCTCCAAAATACTAGCACTTTAGCGCTAAATTTCAGTGTTTTGAATGTGATATGAGTCAGTCAGGCATTGAACTGTTGTTATGTTTAAGGTTTATACCGAAACGCAGTTCTAGCAGGGATTTTAACTGACCTGGGTGAACGATTACAGGTCAGTTGGTGTTTTTCTAGTGTGTTTAACTTTCCATTGTTTTGATCCGTCAGCAACTTTCAGTCTTCTCTCCTCACAGCGACACTTACCTCCTCAGTGAAATCCGTTCTTTCTTTTTATGCCGCAAATCTTTTCCTGATTTAATTTTTTGTTTGTTTGTTTGTTTGTTTGTTTTTTGCTATATAGCTTATCAACAGGTGCTTTTGGGGTTTTTCAGTGTCCTTTTTCCCTCTTGACTCATTGTAAACAAAACATTAGTGGTAGTGTGAAGAAACAAGACAAGTTTGGGATTCTTTTGAAAAGATGGAAAAAATGAATGAAAGGAAAAAAAAAATGATTAAATTGTCCAGAGATCTGTTCCAAACGAAATTTCTTTTTGTTTACACTGGTGTAAACAAAATGACAAATAAAATCTAAGTCTAAAAGTTCAAGGATCACAAAGTCCAGACTTATAAAAATCCTGTATGAATGAAGAAAATGATTAATTCATTAACTTTAAGAAATAAAACAAAATTTCAGTCCTTTTAGAGTCAATACAGACCTTAACATGGTCCTGCACATCCCCCACTGGTTGCTGTGCACTGCCAGCCCGTCGCATAAGACATTGGAACCTACTGTAAAACTCAAGACATGGAAATGTAAAACTATGGCTCTTGAGCTAGCTAACTCACCAGCTAATATCAGTTTGATATATCTTCCCTCTTACTCTGGACAGGTTGGAATACCATTATCCTTTTTTGATCTAAATTGATGAAATTTAGTTAATCAACAGCAAAGAAAAAAGGAAAATAAAAGTATAGAGCTATAGACAGAATTAACATAAGATTTTAAACAAATCAAAAAGTAAAACAAAGATTTTACTGCAGAATAAAACTAATTCAAACCTCAGATTATAAAACAATGTGTAGCTACAACCCTAGCATACTTAGTTTAAAGAAAAAAAAAGCTTAAGATAAACAAAAAAAAACAGAAACCTTTTTTTAAGAAAAGATGTAAAATCTGTTGGGGAAAAAAACAGAATTATCACAATGATGATGTTTACTTGAAAACTAGGACCATGTTTGGTGTAGTTTTTTTTCTTATATATTTAGCAGAGTTCATATTTTTTTGTTATTATAAAATTCAAATCAGATAATGAATAGTTGTTAATGGTAATATGTTTCTTAATATTATAAGATTTTATCTTAGTAGGAGTAAATTATTTCCTGTTAAAAGGGAGTTTTCCTCTCCACTGTCGCTACAAGCATGCTTAGTGTGAGGGATTGCCTTGGAGTCAATGAGTCGATGCAATCAACTGGTTTTCCTTAGATAGAAAACTTTGAATCAATTTGACTGTATGATCTGGTGAACTGGGAAGTGCCTTGAGATGACATGTGTTGTGGTTTGGCGCTATAGAAATAAACTGAATTTAATTGAATAAAGTGTTTCAGGTTTAAACAGAAGCAGTTGGACCATTTAATGTTTTAGTATAAGTAGCATAACACTAATACTTTAGATGGAGGTTATAAAGTTATGTGGAGCCCATTATGTACCCTGTCTACTTGAGGTAAATCCAGACACATTCATTCATTTTTTGTTTTTCCGGCTTATTGAGCCGACTGAGCTGCGTGCTGTGTTCATGTGCCAGTAGAAGAGATCGGTCACATGCTTCTCTCTCTCGTGACTCTGCCCTCTCAGGGATTTCACAGCATTACCAGACCTGATTGCTGCTGTCAGCATCCAAACTTCCCCTCCTCTCTCATCATGGGTTGATTTCAGCTGAAAGTTTTTTTTTTTCCCACCCATTTAGTGAACTGATGATTAGTGTTGAGTTTGATCCTGAGCAGCACGCAGAGCTGCGTGTCTTTGTTCTAAAGTTGAGCCGTGCAGCTGATGGTCTTTAGGTTTAAACGGCTGGAAGCTTCTCTTTGTCCTGTTGTTAGAGGTTAGTGTTTGAACAAGAGACATGACTCCATCTGAAGGCGCTGTTCTATTAGCGGCCAGCTGAAGCCTTAAAAACTATAAATACTGAACGGTATCTTCTGTTAGTCCAGAAAAACAGTTTCTTCACCTTGTTTCTTTTTCTAATCTGGTTGTCATCACTTGAGTTTCACATCTTCAGCCTGATCGCCTGATGTTGTTCAGATGGAAAACTGCGATTTATTTTCTCCATGTTTGCTTTTATAGTCGCAGAGGAACATCTCACTCCGTCTGTCAACATGAAGACCGACATCCCCTATAACCAGGTCAGTGAGCCATTTTTTCCCCCCTTTTTAAAATATTGTTTTTCATATAGAATTAATCCTGATGACTGTTTATGATTAATGCCTTGATCTGTGTAAATAAGCGATTAAATAACTTTAACATACTAATAATTTTGTGTATTAATACAGCAAATGAAGCAATTTTTTTCTTGTTTCTTTCTGTTTTCATTTCGTGTTAAAATACTTTTATTGGGTCACTGTTTTACAGCGAGCCAAAGCAGGAAGTAAAGTGACAATTGAAAGGGATTATTGGAAGTTTCACTCACATGTTTACTTCTCTAAAAAAAACCTGCAGAGCCGACTGTATATATTAAAAAAAAAAAATCAGTTGCAGATTTTATTTTCAGCAGCCATAATCTGTTTGATATGAAGAGTTGAGCACTAACTGTGTGAATGTTTGCAGTTGGATGCAGAGGGAAACAAGCAGGGGTCGTCCCAGAGAGCCCAGCTGGTACGTTTCAACTCATCTTAAGTCTGTTGTTTCCACTCAGGACTAAATGAATAAATCCAGCCGTTTCTCCGTTAGTGCTACAGGTGTTTGGTCGCCCTGGCCTCAGTGGCCTGTGTGCTTCTCGCTGCTGTAGCCATCTATAACTTCCTGACCGCACCAGCCTCCTCCTACCATCCTGCCCTCGTCTCCTCTGGCCTCCAGAAAAAGATGGAGTCCTGTTCAGATCCCTGCAAGTAAGCAAGCCTCTGCTTATTCCTGGTTTACACACCGCACACTTCGTCCCATTTATAGATTTACATTGCAAGAGATCTGAATCATGCATGGGAAATATAAGAATACATGAGTCAGACCTTTTTTGATGCATACGTTGTTAAACAGATTCGATTATTCAGCTCTGCTGCAAACCTTTTATAGAGTCTAGGGCAGAGATCTGTAAGCTTTTATAACCAAAGAGCCTTTTCTCCCCCGAGTCCGACTGGGTAAAAGTCATTTAGAGCCACAAAATATTAAATGACTATTTAATAAAATACCATCTATTATTTTTATTAAATATCTGTCGTAGTGAATCTGGTGCATCTTAAACAATCAAAAGTTAATTGGTATTTCACCTTTTAAAATGATGATAAAACAAATGATTTCCAAGCTAATTAATAGAAAAATGACTCTAAAAACATCTTTTTATGTAAGTCTGATGTGCAGATTCAGTTCAAATATTCTTTATAAAAACCACTAAAGCTCCTAAGCCTGGTATTTTTTAATAAAGTATATTAGTTAGCTCTTTATATCATTTATAGCCTAAAGAGCAGCTCTGGAGCCACAGGTTGCAGATCCCCAGTCTGGGGAATAAGAGAACTGCCAGCTAGATCAAGGTCAGCATGAAGAGGATTTATTTAAACAATATGAAGTTTTCATAATTGGGAAAAAAAAAAACAGAAGCAGATCTCATCAGGGTCTCCAAGGCCAAAACGATGCACATTCTGGCTAAAAATGCAAATCACTCTTATGGGATTAGATAAAATAACAGTACCTGAGCTCCCTGTCTAGCCACAAAACAGGAGAAAACAAAGTTGAAGAAAATGAGAGAGAACCTCTACAAAGCTTCCAATCCACCAAACAACTTTAAAGAATCTAGCATAGTAAAGCAGAGCTATTCATCCACAGAATAAAGCAGAGCTGTTAGCTAAAAGCTTTCTCTCCAAATGGCTAAAGGGAAGTATGTGGTATTGGATGACTGAGGCTTTAATGCAGTCCACTGATGAGGTGATGGAGTTCAGCTGTGCACCAGGAGCTTAAGATCTGCAAAACAAACAGGAAAAAAAAAAACTCTCCTATGAAGAGTCCTCGCTACTTGTGACGCAATTGCTCTGTGTTTACGGAGGTAATCATGGTGGTTGAGCACCATCCATGTATGGTGATCCCAACCTCAGCCTCATTAACAACACAATCTTTTAAAGAAGGTTGAAAATAAATGACTGCTTTCCGCATTATCGTCCGCCATAGTTGTTTTTCTTCCCGCCTCTGCGTAGCAAGACACAGAATTGTGGCCTTTATTGAGTTTTAGTGGTTGGATGAATGCGACCTGGCCGTTCAGACACAGGTCACACTCGAAACGATCAGATTCGTATCGGATTCAGGAGCACATAGTCAAATGGTCTGATTCGCATTGGAAAAATGACAGGGTTTCCACAGGTCATTAAAATCATTAAAAGTCATTAAATCATTATGTTTTGAATGAACAATTCATTAAGTGTGATTATTGTGGTATTTAAAATGCTTTAATTAAAAATGAAAAAACGTTTATGTAAATAATTTCGTCAGTTATATTACACAAGATATAACATTTTCTGCGTGTTTGCAAGGAATTGGTTCCGGTTGATCATAAAGCCGTATGTTCTGAAAGAAGCTTGAGGCAGAAAAAAAGCTAAAGAATGTTAAAATGCAAATTTCAACAAAAGTGGCTGGAAAACGAGGAATTCTGCATCATAGATGCAGCCTGTCAATGCAGCCTGTCAATGGTAAAGATGACCAAGGATTTTGCCGTGTTTTTATATATATATATATATATATATATAGACATATAGACAGTCATGGGTACTTGTTTATGGCATTAAAACATTTTTATTTAAGAGCATTAAAAGAGCATTAACAAGCATTACATTAGAATTCCTCATTCCTGTATAAACCCTGCATGAGATTTTTTTCAAATAATAAATTAAAATTGGAGGGCAGAAGGTTAACTAAAGAAGATTTTATACAGAATTTAAACCAGGTGATGCTAAAATGATGCTGCTGTAGGAGTCATGGATAGAGAACATTGATGAGCAATAAAGATTCTTTTATCTTGAATTTAAGATGTTTATACGTATATTTTTGACAATTTTGGCATAATTACTGCTCTGAGTGGGTGGCTCTTTCAGTTTATGGTATTTTAGAGTCTCTGTACTCCAGTTAACGAATAATCAGTTATTAATTTAGTTGATTATTATATTATTAGTTGATTAAACATAATTGTTTGAGCCCTAGTTCTGATAAATGTTATCTCAGGTGAACCGAAAGCAAATGCACACCACACTATTCAGATTATTATTTAAAGGTTTTAAAAACATGTTATCCTGCGATGGGCTCGCGACCCCAGCAGGAATAAATGTGACAGAAAATGGATGAATGGATGGAAAAACATGTTATCATTTACTTTCTGGTTCAAAATGGAAGGCATCATATATTCCTGCTTCTGTCTATACAGCATATATTTTTTGTGATGTCTTAGTCTGTAATGTAAATGTATGATGGATATTAAAAGTCTATAAACTATTGTTAAAAACTCAGGTGATGATGCAGCAGAAAAAAATCATTTAATGGAGCTTTAATATAGTGGAAAACAGCTGAAAAATATCTGTTGGAGGGAAGAAAGCAAAGAGATAAATGTTCTTTCTTTCTTTGCTTTGTGAAAAGATCTAACATGGATGAAAGTTTATCTGAGGAACCAGGAATAAACGTAAGCTAACAAAGTGCAGGAAATAATAGAGTTGTTCTAAACACATATTAGCAGTGATATAAAACCTTAAAGTTTCTGTTAGTAATCTATAAAAGGAAAATTATAATTTTTTTTAGTATCACACTCAGTCCATTCAAATGTGAATTAATCAGAAGAAATTGAAGTTTAGAACTAAAGCTGAAAACCTGTGGAGTCCATAAAGAGGAGATTTGTTCTCTAACTGATGGATCTGGAAAAAAAAATCTAGGGTAGAGTGGCTAAAAATCCTCAAAGTCATTTATTTTTACGCAGATCAACTCTGACTAGATGCTAAAACAGAGTCTGCACAGTCTGGTTATTAGGGCGTTTTCATTTTTGAATTTATTTCAGAATTAAGGTGACATTAAAGGTGGAAACACTTTTGCTTCGTGCTATTTTATTATTTAACGGATTGTAAGGCAACAAAGTCAAATACTTTATTACCACTATATATACTTTACTGCAGTAATTATTTATTAGACAACATTTTACTTCTATTCCATACAGTTTTCTTTTTTACAATTATCTCTACTTTTTACTCCTTACATTTTTAAGAAATTATGGGCTGCTGGTATTGAAAAAAATAAAAATAAAATAAAAACCATCAAAATAATTTGTTTCATCCAGACAATTCATTTCTTTGTGGTCGGACTCTGCGCTGCTTCAACTTGTTGTTCATCACAAACCAAAATAAATATTTTTTCAAGACAATGCAAAGTGAAATTTGACACTGATACAATTAGTTATAAACCTAAGAAACTTAAGTATAAGGAAGGTATCATCCAGGATTAAAGAAAAATGTTCCTTTAATAGGTTAGCGCTGTATCCAGTATGAGGTTTACAGCATCTGTCCTTAACATTTTTTCCTGCATTACTTTTATATTTCAAGCGGTTTTAAAAATGAAACTTTTATGCTTTTACTTGAGTAAGTAGCTTAAGTTGATACTTTTACAGAAGTGTTTTAAACAGTAGGATTTATATTTCTACTTGAGTAATAAACATCATTTTTTTCAGTTCAGTAAATTGTCTGCTTCCCTTCTTCCCCGTCAGGATTGTTCTGGTGGAGAGCATCCCTGAGGGGCTGGAGTTTAACTCCTCCTCCACCAACCCCTCCATCTTCCAGGCGTGGATCAGTCTGATGAGCGAGGCGCGCAGCAGCGTGGACATCGCCTCCTTCTATTGGACGCTTACTAACAAGGACACCAGCACTCAGGACCCCACAGCCTCTCAGGTGAGCACAGACGGCTCAGATTTCAGCCTCTCTGGGCGCCTCTGCTCACTGTTTTTTTTATTTTAAGTACGGTCTGTTTGTTTTGGTTGTAACTGCCATGTTCGGCTGCCCTGCTTTTCTTAGCTCCCCTCTTTGGCATCATGCAGCGTAATAAACGATGCTGTTTGCACAGGGGGAGGAGGTTTTGAAGAGACTGGCTGTACTCTCAGGGAATCTTCACGTCCGAATTGCTGTCGACTCGCAGGAAGGGAAACCGCAGGCTGATCTCACACAGCTTGAGAATTCAGGTGGCTGTTTCTGTTTTGCTTTCACTTTGACTGATTATTATAAGTTTTTATAGCCAACTTTTTAAGCTTTTTCCATTTTAAAGATTTATTCTGTTTATTAATTTATTCTATGAAGTCAGAGGAGGGGAAAGTGGCATTGAACATGCAGACATGTTTGAAATGTAAGGAAATAGGAACAAGAAAATAATAATGAGTAATTGAATGAGCTGAATTGAATTTTGCTGCACAAAAATCTGTCTTTTATGTGTATGATATTTTCATCATTTAGTATTTCCAGAGAGCTGTTTCCTGTCTGATGGGGCATTTAAGAGAATTATGGAGACGGAGTGGCTTGTTAAAATTACTGTTGCACCGAAGTCATTTTTTGGCCCCGATACTGATACTCGATACCTGGCTGTGCAGTATTGGCAGATACCAATACCATAACGATACCATCTGTTTGAAATTGATGTGTTTGTGTGTATATATAAAGAACTGCATACTACTTGAATGTAAAATAATTGCCATCATGGCTTTGTCAAGCTGTTGCCTACCTTTGTGAAGCAGGAAAAAGATTAATGCAAAGTGAATCCAGTAGAACTTTTTATTGCCTACCAGGAATGGGTGACAATAGTTATAGAATACACTTTGGCTCTCAAAATGGTAAGCCGGGCACACGCTGTCCGATATTTTCAATCGTTGCATGTAGCTACAGCTCAAGCTGTACAACAAAACTGCAGGGTTTAAAAGTTCACAGCTCACAATGTTTGTTCTCACGCTGTGCTGCCAGACGCTCAGTGTGAGAACAAATTCACTGAGCGTGCATAAAATATGCGATGCACGATGAAGCTGAAAACTCAGCCCGATCTAAAACATTTTCACAGGACTGGAGAATTGGTAACCTGACTCCGCCAGATGGATTTGCTCCGCATATCCATCTGGAAACCTTCCGTAGAAGTAATTTTAGGAAGGGGCGAAAATACTGGTTAGCTGATTGGTCTATGTTGGTGATAGACGGGCCAAATAAACCAGTCAGATCAACAAAGCATATGACGTAACAGAGCGACGACGAAGAGGAGCCAATTGATAGATCAAACTCTTGCCGAAACCAGTCGGGAGAAGAGCAAAAACATCTTTTCCTCTGAGAAAAGCCTCCAGAGCAGTGATTTGCTCTTCTTTCAGTGAAGAAATACTCTGTAATTCCGATAAAACTTGCTCGATAGCCACGCTAACGCTAGTTTCATCGGCTGAATCCGCCATGTTCTTTAGACTGAACTGTCGCGCTTCTCGTTGCGTCACACCTCAACCCGCCTCAAAGCCAACGCTGATTGGACGTTCGTTTGGTGAACGGCTCCAAATTTTCTTCAACGGAGAGTCTCCAGACTGATTAGCAAGTGAAATCTTGAAAGCTCGCCACATCAGGGTTGTCTCAAGAGGCTAGATAATTGGCCCGAAAAGGGCAAAAAATAGTACAGTATATGCCCGGCTTTAATCTGTTTGGACAGATTTATGCTTTCCCTCCTCGGTTTAGGAAGTTATTCATATTAAGGCTGCAGGTCCTTCTGAGCAAGTAGGCATTTGTTTCAGTGGAGCTGAGCAGAGGACGGATCTAAACCAGGAACATTTTCCCAAAACCCATTATTTAGATTTAAACGATAGGAGCACAACTGCAAGACCTGAAACTTTCAGTTTCTTGGGTGTGTGGTGGTCACTCCCCCCAGACCATCACAGGGTCTGCTTCCACACACAACAGTTAACCAACAGTCATGTTCCCCCTGTGGGAAGAAGCTGGGCTGCACAGAGAGAACCCACCTATGCAAGGGAAAACAGACAGCTTCATCCAGGAAGAAACCAGGATTTAATAAATGGATCCTATGCTGCTCTGACATAAAATGTGTTTTTAAAGCTGAGATCTTCAGTCTGGTTTTCTTCCTGAAGCTCTGATGTTTTTTTTCAGGAGCCGACATCAGAAAAGTTGACATGAGGAATCTCACCTCAGGGGTTCTTCACACCAAGTTCTGGGTCGTCGACAAGAAGCACATTTACATCGGCAGCGCCAACATGGACTGGAGGTCGCTGACGCAGGTCTGTGTGAAACGGCTGGAAGCTGGTTCAGATCAGCAGAGGAAGAGAACGAGAAACTCAAAGGAGATCTGTTACATTTCTAGTCAAAGGTTGTTTAGAGTCAAAATCAATCGCATGGTCCTCAGCTTTTTGACCTCTACCAGCATCTGTAGGAGAAAATTCACTGATTCTAACTAGTTTAACCAAAACACAGGCAATAATTGAAATCTTACATTTAGCTTTCTATTTTTTTCTTGATTCCAGAAATATATAAAACACCCCCAAAGCTTTGCAGAAAGATTTTAACTGTGACATTTTATAAATGGGCTAATTCTGAACAGTTTATTTTAATGTGGAAACAAAGAAGGAGGAATAGAAACCCGACTTAGAGCCTGAAAACGTTTGGTTGTTGTTTTCCAGGTTAAGGAGCTGGGAGCCGTGGTCTATAACTGCAGCTGCCTGGCTGCAGATCTGGAGAAGATCTTTGAAGCTTATTGGTTCGTAGGGGGGAGCCAGTCCATCCCGTCACCGTGGCCTTCCAACTTCAACACTCTGTACAACAAGGACACGCCCCTTCAGCTCCCGCTGAACAGCACGCCATCCAGCGTTTATCTCTCTGTGAGAATCCGTAATGAAACGATATCCTATAACTCCTGCTTAAATTATCTGCGCTGTTCCCAGTTTTGCTGACTTTCCTGATTTCTGTTCAGAGTTCGCCTCCTTCCTTCTGCGCTACTGGCAGAACTCCAGATCTTCAGTCCATCCTCAGTGTGATGGAGGACGCTGAGAGTTTCATCTACATCGCCGTCATGAACTACCTGCCCACTACAGAGTTTACTCATCCTAAAAGGTAAAGCAGTGGGGATCCTAGCCACGCTACCTGCAGCTGCTTGGGGATTAGTTTATCCGAGACGAAAACTCATTTCTGACTGGATTAAAGGAATAGTACACCCAAAACATGATTAGCCTTCATTTTCTACTCACCCCCATGCTGAACAACACTCTGGAGTACTTTTTTGATATCTCAAATGCATCTGGAGATCTGGGAGGCTTCTTGCTGTCTGCTGACATTCAAATAATGGAGGTCTATGGTGCCCGAGGCAGAAAGGTCCATAAAAGTCCACAAAAAACGTGTCAATATTCCTCCATACTGCTCGTCCAATGTATTCCAAGTGTCCTGAGTGGGTAGCATCCAGAATTTACTCGAAACGAAGTCATTTAGAATGTTTTTAGAGCATAAACAGTAGTGTATAGGATTTCCTGAAAGCGCGCACGTGCGCGATCACGAGCCTACGGAAGCCGGCAGACCAAACCAGCGCATTCAGCTCGGCAAAGAACTCATGCTCTTCCTCAACACTGAAGTCCTCAGACATTTTTCTTTCGTTGTTTCTTTCTTTGCACAGGTAAACAGCACATTTCTTCTTCTACGCTTGCATTATTGGCAGAGCAGACGCTGAATGCGCACTTTCATCTGGCTTGGTCTGCCGGCTTCCGTAGCGTCGTGATCGCGCACATGAGGAAAAACACATCCAATATGAAGAAATGAGTATTAATCTTAAATGTATTCAATTACTGACTTACTATGTACAAGGATCAGTAAAGTCAGGGTTCCCGTGGGTCCTTAAAAAGTCTTAAAAGGCATTGAATTCTTCAAAATAAATCTAAGGCCTTAATTGGTATTAAAATGTCTTAAATACGTCTTTCGTAGGTCTTACTTTTTAAAACATCATAAATAGGATCATTTTTATTACGATTTATTTTTGTAATCTAAATAAAACGTTAAAATTGACAATTATTATTTTTTTTTATTTAAAAAAAAAAAACAACTCGCCGTTATTGGTTCCGTCCCGATAGCGGAACCAATAAAAGCGTTGATGCGGCCGGGACATTTGGGAGATGCGCCATTTACTTTTTGTCTGGAGAATATGAGCAAGTGTAAATGTAACCAAAACTGGCTATCCAGCCAAGAGTTTTCTCCATGGCTAAAACCAGGGAACATACTGTACATGAGGCACAGTAGATTTTGTGCAAAAAGTCATTCCAGCTCGGAACGATGGGAATTAAGGCAGTGGAGTCGCACATGCGAAGCGCGAAACACAAAGTGTCAAAATCGAGTTACCGAATCGAATACAGCCGGTATTTCTCAGTTTTGTTCCACCCTTGTCTCTGCAACGCCTCCACTTATCACCAAATCAAACATACTAAAAAAAACATACAAAGAAAAATGGCTGCAAAAAAGACTTAGCACTGGTTATGTTGTGGCTTTAAAACTGATTTATTTTGTTCCCTGCTAAAACAAAGTTTGTGAATTCAGTTAAATAATTATTAAAATATATCTGTCATTTGTTCGTTTTTAGCTTTCTTCCTGTATGGGAAGCTTTTCAAAATTTGAAACATTAATGCAGTGGTTTATGTTAAAATAAACCTTTGGGTTAAGTTGTCGCAAGCAGGTTTTTCTTGTGTTTCTTGTGAATTTGGTCTTAAAGTTTTATTTCAAGTGGCATTAAAAAGTCTTAAAAAGACTTGAATTTAACTTTCCTTATGCTGTAGGAACCCTGAAAGTATTATTTAATTGAATTCAGTTAAATACCATAAATTAGATCTTTAAATGGATTTTACCAATTTAACCTAATATTACTCGAATGCTTTTATAGATTTGAGCCTGTCTAGACTAGACCTACAGTTCACCTACACCTGAAGGCTAAAGGACTCTTGTTTGAGGACGACAACATCCATAGTCTTGCAAAGGAAGAAAGATTGTTTGAGACAGGGGTTAAGGAAGCCATTTTTGGTATCCTGGAAAAACCGTCTCTCAACAGAGGAGGTGGTCTTAGACATAACCTTTCACCTACTTTGCTGAAACCACTCTGACCAGGAAATTAATGACCCATCAGAACACCCTAATGACCATTAACCCCCCAGGTGACCTCCATGGCCAATCCAGTGGGAGGGATCAGAGCACAGGCGTAACTTTCTGAAGCACTGCTGTGGACAGTCTCCATGAATATATTTATTTATAGTTTCTTGTGTGATTTTATTGTGCGGTGGTAGAGAAACTATGCGCTGAAGTATTTTTAACAAATGTTTCTAGAAAAGTTCAGGTCCAGCATCCTAGACTGACCTTTTTCCAGCTTGACCATGACCTGGATGACTGATAAGCTTCACAGATATGTAATGAATATAAACTAATGCAGTCCAGTTTGTTTTTAATACGCATTGATGCTGAATGTCATATAATTATCCCAAATGGCCAAATCTATGTGTATGACTTAAGTGTGGATAAAGGGGAGCAGTCTGATCTGAGGAGTTTGGCTCTATGCAGGTACTGGGCAGACATCGACACCCAGCTGAGGCGTTCAGCGTACGAGAAAAAGGTTCGAGTGCGTCTGCTGATCAGCTGCTGGCAGCACTCTCCTCCCGTCATGCTTCCCTTCCTGAAGTCTCTGGCTTCGGTTCACGATTCTAAAAACAAACTGGACATCCAGGTGGTGAGTGGTTCGCCCTGCGATCATTTTCTCTGTGATGTATCCGCTCTCTCACAAAGTCAGCACATCCTGTTTGTTTCATCAGAGGCTGTTTGTGGTTCCTGCTGACCCAAGGCAGAAAAAGATTCCCTTTGCAAGAGTGAACCACAACAAGTACATGGTGACCGACAAAGTAGCTTACATAGGTAAGGGTTATTGGTTTTTTTACTTTCTGTGTGAAATGCTTCATTTTTCTGTGAGATAAACTTTATTGGACCTCTAATTAATTTCAGCTTCTACAACAGGGCAGCTTTACATGCATTAAGTCTGATTGATAGTTGAATCCTTTCCTGTGTAATAAAAGTATCTCTCCCAAACATACTGTGTGTATTTCTGTCCTCAGGGACGTCTAACTGGTCGGGGGACTATTTTCTGAGCACGGCTGGTTCGGCGCTGGTCGTAAACCAGACGGATTCCCAGTCAGCGGGCCCAACCGTCCAGTCCCAGCTGAAGGACATCTTTGAACGGGACTGGCACTCGGCCTACAGCTCACCTGTCACACACAATGCAAACCTTGAACTCTGTTAGTTTCTACAGCCAGCATCACACTTTCATATCAGCACTCCTTTGCACATGTACAGTGTTCAGATTGTCGACACCTGTTGAAGAACAACTGCTCTAACAGGGGATTCTGAATCTGATGCGGTGAAAGTAGTTTTTGAAAGTGCTTTTAACACCAAATAGGGAATAAGTGTGAAGGGAAAGAAAAATTACACAAGTTTCTGAAAGTTTTTTTTTATATACATTCAAATCTGAAAAGTGTGGAGAGCCTGTGTATTTAAGCCCTATGACTCAGGAACCTTGTTTATGAGCTTATATATCTCAGCTCAGCTTAGAACTTCTAAGAACACCTCCAACTCTGCTGGATTAGGTGGTGAACATCTGCCAACATCAGGTTTCTCAAATGTTTTTAAGTCTGGACTTTGAGCGGCCCATTCTGGCGCATGAATACACTTTGACCTTATCTTTAAAGTTGCTGTCCTGCTGAAAGTGGAGCTACACTCCAGCCTTTACTGTTCACAGCGATCTATAGTTAATTTTACAGACAGATGATGAGATGAATAAAGCGCTGAGAGATGTTGATCCCTTAAAATAACCTTTTAGCTCCTAAACCTTCTTTAAATTCATAGGGAAACAGCTGGAAACTTGCCTGCATAAGATAACAAAAAAAAAACATAGATTTTAAGACTTTTTTTTAAAATAGGAATTTTCTAAATTTTGGGACAATATAGTCTGATAAAGAGTACATTTATATACATGTTTAAGCCAGAATGATTTGACATTCAAATATGACTTCCCTACGACTTTAAAGGTCTTCACCACCTTCTTACTAAACCAATCTGCTTCACCCCTCTCTGACCTCTGAGCTTTATTTACACTCAGATTAGAGTGTTCAGCTTCAGTGCCGAACACTTGTTTCTCCTAGGGAATAATACACCTTTAAAACAGGGTTCAGCCTCTGTTTCAGTAACTAGAAACTTTGCAGTTTGTAAAGTTCTGCTGTGGTGAATGTAGTTCTTGGCCTGAAGTTCCTGCAGCAGCAGGTGCTTCAGCCATGGAGCAAGATCAGCTGGTTCTGCTGCATTTCTATATTCAGCCTCAGAGGGAGTTTTTACTTCCCAGGTCAACTCAGGGATTAAAGTCAGAGCTTTTTCCTTAATTTTAGTTTTAGCTAAATAAAATTAGTCCTATTCATGCTATTTTTATACCTTGTACTGAGCTTTTTAAGCTCACTCTGGAGAATTGCATTGTTTTTCTCTTTTAATTTTTGCAGAGCATTCAGCAGGAAAATACTATAAAGATGATTCAGTCCTGCAAGGCTCATGTCCTGCAACCCAGAGATGAATCAAAAATATTAGCAGCAGAACACTGAACACTGTAGAAATCACTGCCTGCTAAGGAGGCACCTCAGCCTTGATTTCATGGATTATGCAGAAGAGTTGTTTAAAAGTTGCAGGACACCGGCGGCCCAGGCCTGCAGTTTAATGGGATGTCCAAGTCCAGACCTGCAGAGCTGCTATACTACATTTATTCCCCTCAAATGGTGGGATGGGATACCAGAACTCCGCAGAGCTAAATGACGGAATTCAGCTGTTTAATGTTGGAGAAGGGATTCATCCAAAGGTTGCAGGATTGTTGCTCACAGGATAGGATTCAGGATATAACCCCTGATATAATGTAGGAAAGAGCAAATCAGCAAAGATATAAATGTGTGAACTTTGTAGGGTTTAGCATAATAATTAGCAGAATGCCTTTGTGTTGCTCGTCATCATTTACAATGTCGAAAAAAAAAAATTGCAATCAAAGGTTTCTCTTCAGTATGTGATATGAGCTGGGATTTGTCTGCATTACATCTACACTTTGTTGTACTGTAAAAAGATGATTTTCCCAGATTTTATGATACTAAATGGTCATCTCCTTCATGTGCAATAAAATAAAATGAGAAACTAAGACACTCCTAGTTATTTATGAAACACATCAAAGTTCTAAATAGAATAGTTTATATCTTGCATAAAAATCTGCCAGATATAATGTTCTTGTTTACATAAATACAGCATGACTTATTTAAGAGTGAAGACTAAACTTTAAGACTCTCAAGGAAAACCTCAGGGGGAGTCATATTTATGGATTCTGTTCCTTCTGAGCGATTTCTGCAGGTTAAAGTGAATCCAACAGTTTAAAAAGACTTTCTACTTTTCACTTATTTTTAGAAGGACAGAAATGCAACTTTAGTGCATTGCCTATCTGAATACAAGTTCTTATAGCATCTTTTGCAGAAATAGCAGCACTTAAATTTTTAGCAGCATTATAATTTTATCTGCAGTGGAAGATTAGACTTATTTGATAAGTTTACTCACTGGTAAATGTAGTTTTTGTTTATGATGTTCTTAAAGAAGTCGAGGCTTTTATGCAGCTTTGCCCAAATTCCAGTCAACTTTTACCCGGAACAGTTTTTCCATCCATCGTGTTCCACTTATCCCAGATCAGGTTGCAGAGGTCCCAGGTCCAGCAGAAGAACCCAGAGATCCCTCTGTCTGCAGTGACTCCTTGTTCTGACCCTGACCCACACAGTGGGATGTCTATGAGCCCCGAAGCTTTCTAATCACATGCCAGACCAGTGTCGAGGCTAACTGCTATCTGCCATGCTTTATTTCCATTGAAACATCTACTGACCATACATGTAGGTGTAGCTTGGAAAGAACACCGGCCTGTAAACTGATGGTGACTCATCTCTTTCATCTAAAACTAAAAATGTTTCCCAATCACCCCTAAGAGTCCTAAATCTCAGGGTATTTGTGTTATTTAAAAAATTTTTTGGACATATTTACTCCCAAAATTGTTATCCTCCCTTTTTTAGAAAGTAACTTGAAAACTCCCAACTGATTGTATAATCTAAGACAACTAAAATAGCTCAACACTTTCACTTTTGAAAAACGTGTCTCCACATTAAACAAAATAAATGTAATTTTATTGATTGCAGCATTATTTAACCTCTTTTTTAGCATCTTTGTGCTGCTATGGCCTTGCAAACATGATTCACAATATAGCGTTTCTGAGGAATATTAGCCCACTCCTAATAATTTAAGACTTTGCATATTAGTCATCTTGTTGACCCTTTCTAAATCCCACTAGAGATCTTTAATACTGTCTGTGAGGGTCACCAGTATGTTCCAGGATTTGAATGTGGTCTTGGGTGACTTTGAGTTGTGCTTTGGTTGATTGTGACGTCTAAAGAAATAAATGATGTGAAAGATTCAGCTTCCTCTGAAACTGTGAAGTTTTTTGATTTTTTTCCCAGAATTTCCTGTAGTTTTTTCCATCAACATTCATGCCGATCCACAGGCCTGGATTATTACTGATTTAACCGTTTTAGCACAAAAGCAGTTTTTGTTTTTTTGTTTAATGTTGTTTTTTTTGGTCAAATATTTAGTTGATTACATGTTTTTATATTAATGGAAAGCCTGTTTATTGTTAAATTGCATCACGGTTGTAGGGGAAATGCATTTATGGGTTAGTAATAATTAGTGTTGCGCTGATTATATTTTTTGGCCCGGATACTGATACCCGATACCTGGCTGTGCAGTATCGGCCGATACCGATACCATCTGTTTGAAATGGATGTGTGTGTGTATATACAGTATGAAGAACTGCATACTGCTTGGATGTAAAATTATTTCCATCATGGCTTTGTCAAGCTGCTGCCTACCTTTGTGAAACAGGAAAAAGACTAATACAAAAATTTATCCAGTAGAACTTTTTATTGCCTACCTGGAATGGGTGACAATAGTTGAATAAACTTTTGGCTTTCAAAATGGTATCGGTGCCCTATTTGTCGGTACTCGCCGATACCGATACCACCATTTTAGTGCTGGATCGGGGCCATCCCGATACTGGTATCTGTGCAACGATATCAATTTATATGTAATAATCAGTAGTGCAACATTGATCTCTTCACATTTACAACCCAAATGTGGCCACAGTCTGATATCTGGTTACAGCAGCTGCGCCTCTGAACACCTTTTATGGGGAATACTGTTTTTCTTTGTGCGTAAAGAGTTCTCCAGAATAGAAATGAACCATCCCCAGTCCAGCTGCTTAGATCAGTCAGGACTTGTGCTCTTTTTCTGTCCCCATCAAACTGAACCTCCATCTGCTCCAAGAGGACAGGGAGGAGGTGCTCATTAGAGGGGCACCCAGACATGGAGCCATGCAGCTCCGCTTCTTAGGAAGTTTTGCAGCTTCATAAAGCAAAGAAATGTCAACTGTAGAAACATCTGGAGGGCAGTTGGAGAATCAGATGATGGTGCGTTTAGGTGCGTAAAGCTCCAAATCTCCTGGCTGATTTCTAAAGCTAAGCGGCTCTTCCAGACAAATGAAGGTGAGAATCTGCATATAAACCAGACTAAAGTATTTAGCTTTGATATTTTAAAGCCCTTGTATTGATTTGTCTCAAGTTTTGTCGATCTGATGTAGTAATAATGTTGGATTTAAATATCCCGAAAACAGAAGGGAAGGAAATTATCAACAAATCTGCAGATGCAAAGAATTGAACTTTCCAATGGCCTCAGAATTTAACGAATGAAATAGTTTATAGTAATTAAAACCTTTCTGGACGCTTTGCAGCGCCTCTGCTCTGGTTAAAACCCAGCTGATGTTCCTCCTCTGCAGGGAGACTGATGTTCATTACACAGTAAGTTTCCAAACTTTTTTATTTATTTATCATTGGCAGGTTAGAAAAGTTTCAGCCTTGGACTATTTTTGGAGAACTGGATTCATAATCAGTTTAAACAGATTTACAACGTTAGTAAATGATACTGCAAAGTAAAGCAATCACCCCTCCCCTTTACAATGGATAAACAGAGGCGGTCCTGGAAGAAAAGGGTCCAGGAGGAACCTGGGGGGCCCTGGATGAAAACAGTGGGGACTCTACACAGAATATACCAGAAGGTCCAAGTAGGGTTGGCAATATATTCGGTTGACCAGACGTCCCCTTTTTCCCGGACATGTCCTACTTTTCACACCTAAAAAAAATGTCCGGGGGGAATTTCAAAATCGTCCGGGATTTTGGTCGACTATGGTGCAGCAGAACCGAGCCGTTAGCACTGCGGTGAAGTTGGTTTGAAGTTGGCTATTTGATATTCAAACCCTGCAGAGTCAGCGGAATATAGCAAACGGTTGATCCGACTGAGGGACTCCGATGTCGGCTGGCGTCTCCCAGCCACTCCCTCCTCCCACATGAGGTGGTGCGGTTAGGGACTGTCAACAAATCTTTGAAATAAGCACTCTTGAGAAATAATAATAAACTCCTTATCTTATGACCAGCTAAGATAAAAACCCATATAAAATCATGCCAATAGATTACATTTTATGTAAGGCACACTTGATTTTATGCAATTTCAAGCTATTTTCAATTGTTAAGATATTTTGAAAGACAAAAGTTGGGACTATTCTTCAATAGCTTCCAGGTCATGTGACCCACTTACTCAAATTCTTTGTGAAATTGTTTTACTACATTAGCCTGATGAGGCACACTCATTTTTATTCCATTTTAAGCCTTTGTTCATTTTTAAACGTTTTGTATTAGAAAAATAATTGATATTTCTTCAACAGCTTCCAGGTCATGTGACTCACTGAATCCAAATCTGTCGTTCTACTACATTAGCCAGATGGGGCACACTCATTTCCATTTCAAGCCTTTGTAAATTTTTGCCTTTGTATATTTATTTTATGCTGCCCCCTGCCTGCCCCGGCAGGGGGAAGCATACAGACACTGGGTCGGGTTTGGTCGCCCCGTCCCCGGATGGCTCCTGCTCAGTTGGAATGGCCGGTGCAGACAGTGGCCCAGCAGCCTCCCCCCATTAAAAAAAAAGGTCCTCCTTTTCAGAAACCCAAATCTGGTCACCCTATGATATATATGGAATATATTCGATGTATCTCAAGTTTACCTCCACTAGATGGTTAAAAAGACTTTATCTCGACCATTGATTGCAAATTTTCATGGCATGATTGAGCAGCTGTATTTAATTCACTGTGAGTTTAGTTTCTCCTACATGCTAAGAACGCATCGCTTGCTCCTCCTCCAGACCAGAAAGCGTCCTGGCATACACAACAACAAGCACAAACGGTTATTACATCAACGAGACAGCGAGAACTATGGCGACAGCTGGAGTTTAGGCTAAAAAAGAAAATGAGTCTGAAGAGGATCCAGACAAACTGGAGCTGAGGAGAAAACAGCACTGGATCAATATATTTGGCAGTGGTTTGGATTTGACAAGAAAGATGTTGAAGAAAATGCTGTAATTTCCAAAACATGCCGAAAAACCATTGCTACAAAAGTTAGCGGTACAATAACTTTATTCCACCACCTAAAAAGCTCATCCAGAGCAAAATTAAGACTGTCATAAAAGAGCAAAAAAGTCCCCCTTTTTATATCAGGTTTGTTTTGTCTCAGATTTTTATTCTTGGGGTTCCTTTTGGCCGCTGGGATGTTCTGTTTTTAAGGTCCAGCGTTGAACACGGAAGAGCTTTAATGTTACAATATTGTAAATTAAAAAGAAATCTATGTGCAGCTGATGGTAAAACATAAAAAGAACATTTTAAATAATTTTTAATTTGCAATCAATTTTTCAAACAAAAAAATTACATGTTAATTTGACATATAGCAATGCAACTTTAGGCACTATGTGGCTAAAAACGTTTGTATTTCAAGGTTATTTGATCATATTGTGGTATATCTCGTATATGGTACTATATCCCAAAGATATTTTGATATTAAATTTTCTTGATATCGTCCAAGGTGGGGCCAGTGTTTTGTTATCATTGGGTTGTTTTTTTTGTTTTTTTCAAGGGAACATATATTAAGCGAGATGCTTAAAGAAGAGCCTTTTTCAGCTCTGAAAACTAAGATAACAGATTAAAAATATTATTCTGTCTCCATACAGCTGCAACTCAACTATTGACTGCTTTATTTTAGATAACTTGTAATAAACCTTTGACCAAAGGAACTAATCAGTTACAGTTTCTGTAAATGTCAGTGCTACACATTCAATATTGGGGCCAGGATCAGCTTTACATGGGCTCTGGTCCCTGTCTAGAACTCCTCATGTCAGTAAAGTTAGAAAAAAATCACTAATTTCCCTCTGCAAAAACAGCAAAGCAGACAGTGAGCATCAACTGCATTTTCAATTGGCCTCTCAGCTGAGCTTAGTGCTCATGAAATGTGCAGGAACCGTCTGCAGATTGCAACATGATGAAGAAATAATAATAGTGTCACCAAGGACAGGTGTATTTTTATTTAAATTGTTTAATGGATAAATGATCTCATATGTTTCATACTACATTTCTCAAATTGGAAATTAATACTTTCAAAACAGTGAGGAATTTCCAAAAGACTACAACCTATAGCTAAATATTCAGCAAAGTCTCTTTACCTTTTTATAAATATAATAAGAATAAAATGAGCAACATGCTTTAGCGCCTCATCTTGATCGTACTACAACTAATACTTTGGTCAAATGAGCTTACATACATTTTTTTGTGATTTATTTTATCATTAAAATCAGTATAAACAAGCAATAACTTCACTGTTACATGCAGTAAAGCCCGTGGCAGCAAACAGGCCTGAACTAAACTTCAATCAGAATCTATGAACCGGATTCTTCTGTCTCCTGTTCATCAGCTGTCATGGTTTCTTCTTGTTCTTCAGCTGGAAATGTCTCCTCTTTTGTGATCTCCATGCTCTGCACAGTGGAGGAGGCCTCCTCTTGGACAGAGTTTTCAGGTTTATCCATCTCTTCTCCATCAACCTAGAAGTGAGTGATTAAAAAAGAAGTAGTACTAATCATGGAAAAGAAAGAAATACTTTAGGTGCTTGTCTATGTTCTCTTTGAAATATCTCTCGTCCCTCATCTGTCTTCTAGAAGTAAAATCTTTTCTCTCCTTCTCTACCTGAATAAATGAGCCATAATCACAGACAAATAAGCTGCATTTTATCTGCATCACCTGCTCTGCATTTTGGGAGTCAGGGCTTGATGTGTTGCTCAGATTCTCTGTATTGTCAGATGTCATATCAGTGCCACCTTGACCTGGAGTTTGTTGGAGTTGTTTGGTTAGTTCTGCTTTCTGTTTGCCAGAATTAGATTGGCCGCTCACCTGTACACAAGATCAATTAACATGAAAAGGGACCTGCTGTAGTAAGTTAACAAAGCATATTGACTTAAGCTTTTGTCACAGATCCTAAATCCCAATAAGGCTGATATTATTTGATCTGAATGATTTTATTAAGACTTAGTTTTGCATATATGTCCTAAATCACCCTGTGTTTTAATTCCTCCTCCTACACATCAACTCTCATCAGCTTCCTTTCTTGCAGAGGAAACCATCCCCAGAGATGTGCTCTACTATGTTTCCTGCACACAGAGTGCTTCACATTTAGGCCAAAAACTTCAATCTCATCTGACCAGAGCAACTTCTTCAAGGTGAATCCCTAACCTGAATCCATAGAGGTGGACTATAGCTTACTCCTAAACTGCTTGCACTAACTGAAGGGATCTTTTCCTACAAATTGACAATGTTGCACCACTTCATCTTTTCTGGCATTGATGTATGTGGTTGAAAAATGCTGAAGCGTATGAACACTGTAGCAAATCATTGAAAGTAATAATAGTTGACTATTAAAAAGTCACCAAATTACCTCCTCTAGATCTAGGTGAGCTTCTGTCCCTTCGTTTGGATCATGGTTGCTCGTGTTTTGCTCCACATCTGTTCTCTCCTGTTCCAGAAGTTAATATGTTTTTGTTAGTAGATGTCATCTTAAACAAAAACAACAAAAAAGGATACGGTCTACAAAGCTACGCATAATTTAAGCAAAGCAGTATGTACAGTTTTGTTATGCAGACTTAAGATTAGTCGTGCTTTTATTTAGTGGTAAACTCCTGATTTCAGTTTAAGATTTAAAAAAAAATGTAGATTTTTTTTTTGGTTATTCTAAATGGGGAAATTATTTAGATTTCTGAGTTTAAATATCTTGTTTAAATATCTTATGATATTTAAACTGAAACTGTCAAGGGACTACAGATTGAAATGGGAATAAACTAAAATCTCACACTAAGCTTGGTTCTGCTGGAGTTTTTTCTCGCCACTATTGCTACAAGCATGCTTAGTGTGAGGGATTGCTTTCAAGTCAATGAGTCGATGCAATAAATTTTCCTTAGATGGTAAACTTGAAATCAATTTGACTGGATGATCTGGTAGAAAGCTGGAGATAGGCACCAGCTCCCCTTGCGACCCCGCTTGGGATAAAGCGTGTCAGAAAATGGATGGATGGATCTGGTTGAATTGTAAAGTGTCTTGAGATGACATGTGTTGTGAATTGGCGCTATATAATCAAACTGAATTGAATTGAATTAATCTGGTACTGCGCTTACTTATTCTTACTAGCATTACACCGCACTGTAAAGGCAATGCAATATTTTGTTTTATATTTACTTTTCATTTAAAGCACTCTATTAGATGTGTTTTATAGCTGGTCCGAACCTGCTCCTGCTTGTCAAAGAGAATACAGAAGATTTACCTTCAGCTGGACTGAACCATCAGGGGAAATGGGGTTAAGTTAACTGATTTTTTTCCCATCCGTTTTTATATCTATCTTTTATATTCTGACCTCTTTTACAGGCCCATTCACTGCCATTTATTGTTTTAAATAATTTGTCATAAAAAATAAATCAGCTTTTTGATGACTTTATCCTGGTCCATGCAGTATTTAAAAGTTATTAAAATAAGGTGGCCTCGTTCTCCACTGTCACCACATCCATGCTCAGGATTAAAGCAGGCAGCACAACATGTTCACATCCAAATGTCATCACCTCGTGTTCGTTGTCCTCTTCCTTGACATCAGGATTTTGTTTTGGGCGTTCCGGATCAGGAAAGTTTGGTTTCTCTTCGTTTACGGGTTTCTCATCATCAGCAGGCTCTGTAGTGGTTCCAGTTGATGCATCAGGCTCTGAGAGTTTCTCAGTCATCTGTTAAAAATATTTTTTTAATTATGTTCGAAGATATTAAAGCTAATAAAAGATTAAACATATTTTAAAGACTAAACCTTTATGGTAATAATCATACATTATGAGGTTCTTCTAGGGCTTCACTGGTTTTCTGCTCGTCCTTTTTCAGCTCCTCCTCATGCACTTTTCCTCCATCAGCTTCTGCCTGCTGCTCCTCCAAGAGAGCCAAACGCTCTTTCACCTGCAAAAAAATTAATCAATAAATAAATAAATAAATAAATACAGCCTCTATCGTTTGGTAGCAACAATAATAGAGGCTGAGACTGAGTGAGACTAGGATGTGCAATATGCAAAAAAGTATGTTACCGGAAAGTTTAAAAGAAAAAAAAAATACACTATGCCATATTTTTCTGAATGGATGGAATTGAAATTGTACTTTAGGGATGCATGATAAATCGATTTTGCATCGGAATCGGCTGTTATTCGTTATTTTTTTTATACATTAATGTTTTTGGGACTTATATAAAATGCACTAAAAGGCATCTCTCTATCTATAAATATAAATAGCAGTGTATTATAGTTCTCTTGTGTTGTCAACAATAGGAAAGCATTAAATAAATATATGTTTGAGCTCATTTTTGGAAAATACAAAAACCTAATGAAAGCCTTCGGGTCGACTGACTGTAGGTTCATCAGCAGAGAGGTGATTATTTAGATAAGTATTCATTCTGCCCATGAAGAGATCTACCGATCAGGTGAAAGTGTCTGCACACAAAACATGGCTCTGTCCTTTTAAAAACGAGCAACAATTCTGCTTTCTGAAAGAATGACAACAGCCCGGTTTACAGCTAAAGAATAAATCAATTAAAGTAAACTCAAATTTTTATCACCATCTGTAATAACAAAATTATAATAATTCATATCACCCTGAAAATACCGTTCCCATTGTGAAGCAAGGTGGAGGCATCATGCTGTGGGATTCCAGTCAGATTTGATGGGGATGGATTAAGCTAAATAAAAGCTGCAAAAAGGTGGAGGTTCCCCTTTTTAAGCATAAAGTCAGACCTTTAACAAGGAAATAAAATTAAGACAACAAAAAATACTGGTCTCTGGTTTTTGCAGGGGAGCGCCTGCTAAGTCATTGGGTCAAAGACAGATATTTAAAAGAGATGTGATGTAGTATTGTGTCCTGTTGACACTAAATGAAACTGCTGCTTGCCTCTTTCTGGTATTCAGCATTAGATGACTTTTTGTAGAGCCAGTGAGCCAGATACTGGATGGGCCTAGCAGGTCGCCTCTCTGCCACTTCAGCCAATCCCTCCGCCAGAAACACTCCCACATGTTGCTTTAAGTACTCCGAGTCCATTCTCTCACTTTAACACAAAACCGTCGAAAGTATTACTAATTTTAAACAATGCTATAGACCTGTTACGATATAGGGGATGGATTCTGGGGATAGGAAGGCGAACCTTTTTACTGCGCCGCAATGTAGCGTTATGTTTCCATGGTAACGGCGGTTTGACTCCTTCCCAATAATAAGTAGTTCCTACTTCCTGGTTGTCTTTTTATTCGTTTACGTTTTGTTCTTTTTAAATAATAATGTTGCTTTGTTTTTATTTCATTATCGTTTAGTCGAAACTCACTTGGTGAATCACAAACATAAACAGTGGATGTGCATTTATAGATCAAAATAGTCCAGTAAATGGCTGAAGGAAAAAAGTTAAATATTTAACACAAAATTTCAAACATGATACACAGTATATTTAATCTTTTTGCTGCTAAAATTTTATATTTTTCGCACCAATGGGTTTAAGTTTAACTGTTTTTATGCTTGGATTGTAACACTATGCTGTCATCTAGTGGTCACATTTAAAGTAGATGATAAAAGTAACAGTAAATGGTGTTTTTCATAGATGTTTATTGTATCTCAGTGAATTGAAAATGAATACATGTTGGATTAATATCCTATGACTCTCATTAAATTTTAGGGTGACATGCTATAAAGTTGAGCTTGTTTCCAGCTTCAGCTTTTATAGCTACTGTATATATTTGAAAAACACAAAAAAAAAAAGTCTAATAGGTCTATAAGACATTTCCTTGTGTTAATCTCCTCTGTTAACTTCCAGTGAGCAGCAGCAGGAATTTCTGGCTCTGCTGAGGTGTTGAGAAACTCTAGGTAGCTTTAGGTGTATTTATTGGGTTTAATTAGTGTTTGACTGTATGGACAGGTAGAAAATAACATCAGCATCTCCATAAAGCTTGTTAGCATAGGGAATCATTGAAACAGGCACATTCAAGTACATAAAGAGTATGATCAAGACGTGCTCTATGTGTGCTGTTTGGTGGTGCTACAACATGCTATATAGCACAGATATTTCTTACATTAATGATAAAACATTAATAAAATTAAAACCATTTATATAAAACAATTTCATTGATGCAGCTTACTGTTGTTCATTTGGGGTTTTTTCATTCATTCATTTTTTCATTTACCTAGCAAAAGTGATTTTTCTGAGTATCGATTTAGCCTATAGGCTTTGTGGAAATCCCTGCATTTATTTTTATTTAATACTTTTTTTTCAGCTCTGGAAATGTTGTACAAAACCTTAAGATCACACATTAAATGATGGGGATGACCATAAGACCCTCCTTGGTAACGCCATTCAATATTTCTCTATCAAGTTTTTCTGGTGCTGCAATTTGCAGACGGTCCCTGTGCATTTAGGACCAGTGAGCTCTTCCGAAAGGCCAATGCAAGTCTCCCAGTCAGACCTTAGGCTGGTTTTCAGCAATATATGGTTATAGCTTACTATCTGCCCTGCAGTGGTGGCACAGAGGTTCTAGTATTGTTAAAGAAATTTTTGGCTGATGAGTTATCAATTTGGCGATGAATCTGTGAATTTTCTTTACTGAAGTAGATTCACACAGCAGGCAAACGAAACACAGTCTGATCTTTTTGGTCCACATCAGACCCATCTTAGACATTTTCATGGCAGTCTGAACATCCCAACCTTAAAAAAAATTCCATTTGATCCACTTCTATAGATTGTACTAGATCTGTTTAGCAGTCTGAGCAGCCATGATGCAAATCCAGCCTTTACTCACGTCTCCTTCTATGCGACACAGACTGTCAGAGTCACCACTCCACTAAAAGTGATGTTCTCTTAAGATGTGTCATCATGACACCAGCTCCCATTGGTAAACAGGTTAAATATCCACTATTATATTGTTTTTTTTTTTTTCTTTATTGAACAACAGTAGCAGTAGCATCTAAAATAACTACTGCAAACATTGCATTGCTCCATGACTTCTACATTTATCTTTTCCACATGCTGGAGGCTTTGGTTTTGTGTACCATTCAGAAGTCTGATTGGGTCGCATTTAATTGGTAACGTTAATGATTAAGAAAAAAGTAAATAAACAAATCATATTTCAGTCAAAAAATAGCTTACTTGGAGCATTTCCAATGCAGTGCAAAAAGATAGGTCTACTTCTGTAGGAGAGCTTATAGCTGCCTTTGAAGTCTATATTTTATTATTAAACATTACAGGTTAGATAACCATTTAAACAGATAACATAACTACACCTTATGATAAGTACAGTTATGGTAAAGAAAAAAAACACAACATAACCAAATAATGTTTTATTTCCTCTTTTCCTTTTGCTTCCCTCTGTATCTTGTGATTGGCATCAATATTTTCCTTTACTCTGATATTCCTTGTTTTGATTTATTTTAGGGTCACAGATATTTTTGAGAAGTTTGAAAATGAGCAAGAATGATACTAAATATAAAAGCAAAAATTATAAACTAAAACAAATAACTAAGGAACAGGTTTTGAGATATTATTGTTAAGCTCTTCCATTGTCTTCTCAGTGGCATCAATTCATGGCATTAAAATTGAGTTTAAAATTATGAAAAAGTCATATATATCATGACTTTTATATCATGAAAAAGTATATCGTCACTGATTCTTGAAACTTTGGCAAATACATGTCCCACTAAGAAAAGTGCTAATTCTGTTGGAAAGAAATAACATTTTCATGAATAAAAACAATCAAGGTTATAATCAGGGGGTCCTTTGCACAAATGCAA